GCTGCCCCCGGGACGCCCGGCCTCGGGGGAGACTGCCGGCGGGCGGTGGCTGGGGCGGAGAGCCCGGGGAGGCTGGACCCGCCCTGACTTCCGCAGGACCGAAATAAACCGTGTCCGCCTCCATTCTGCTGGGCGTCCTCCGTCTGTCACCCCCTCCCCCAGGGCCAGAGCTGCGAGGGGAGGGGATGCGCAAGGCCAGAAGCCCGGTGAGGAGCAGAGGCTGAGCTGGGGTCCCAGCCCAGTGGCCACCCCTGGGTGGTGAAAATGGATGGATACAGCTTAGAGCACCCCCTAGACAGGCAGCCCCCAGACTGTCTGCAGGAGAGCAGGCCCTCCCCCATCTCTCCAACTCCATCAGCTGCTGCTAAACCCTGCTCCCTCCACAGCCCTCACCAACCCCTTCTCCTTTCCAAGTCCAGTTCGGGGTTAATACTGGCAGCTAATGTGGCAAATACTGATTAAGCGCTTACTGTGTATCTTATGCGGACTTACATTCTTCAACCTAAATATCAAAACAGCCTTGCGGGGCCGCTACAATTTGTTCCATTTTACAGATGAAGAAATCAAGCATCAGAGAGGCCTAGTGATTTGCCTAAGGTCACATAGCTAGGGTTTGGCGGAGGTTGGGTGCAACCCCACTGCAGTCCAATTCTCAATAGAACCTCCCCTCCTCCACCTCCAAGGCCTCTGCTCTCGGTTTCCATGGTTTCCAAGGTGTGTTTATTTTGTTCTTTCTGATTCTGGATCAGCCTCTTCCCCAACCCACAGCTCCCCACACCCTAATCTTATGCCTTGGAAACCTCCGGCTCCCAGTCCCCTTCCTCAGGAGAGTGCTGTTCAGATATGCAGGCCTGATGGGCTTCCCGTCCTAGGCCCATAGTCTGACCCAAACCCCTCGCATCCTCCTGCCTTAGCCATTTGGTGCTCCTGGCGCAGGAGACACAGCCGCACTCGGGTCCCAGCTGGCCTCCCTGCAGCCCTGGCTGCCCTGTGGACCCCTCCTTCCCTTTCCCAGCACAGTCTGTGGCGGTGGAAACCTCCAAATTAACCAATAAATCAGTTTCAGTGGTTGCAGAGCCAACCACTTCCCTCCCTCCCTCACCACTTGCCAATAAGCTTGATCAGCTCCAGCTGGGGCTTGAGACCTTTCGGCCTCTGTGTCTCCCCAGCATACCTTCTGGCTGCTGGGCACTCTGGGAGGGCCCCTCCCTAACCATAGGCAGCTGTTGAGTCCTGGTCACTGCCTGCCACCTGCCACCTGCCACCTGCCACGGCCCGGGGTCAGAGTGGCAGTCACCCTTCACGGGGAGGCAAAGACCCAGCTGGTGGAGCAGCTGCTACAATGGCCCGGCTCTGGGCCTGGCACCTGGTCCCGTGCTCTTCCTCCCACGTCTCTGCCGAGGTTTCCACAGCCTCAGGCCACAGCAGTGGGAGTGGGTCCTGCAGGGCAGCACCAGCATGGCCTGTGTCTCCCTGTGGCCTCCACGGGCTCATCGGGCCTTGTGCCAGCCCGAGCGGGCGAGGAACATTATCTCCATCTTCAGAAGCAAACGCCGAGGCTCGAGAAGGTGAGGTAGCCTGACCGGAGCCAAGTAGCAAATTTGGGGCCGCAGGGACGGCTCTCACGGCAGCCAGGCAGCAGCGGGAAACATCTGCGGGCATCTGACAGTTCGCTGGTGAGTGCCTGCAAGGAAAGAAGGGCGGAAACCTCCCAGCCGGGCTGCGGTCCACACCCACCTCAGGCACGGACAGATGACCGACTGGGAGCGGCTCCATCTAGGACGGCAGGCGACAAGCTCTCCCAGCTGGAGAGCCACAGGGCCAGAGTCTGAACCTGCACAAAACCCCCGGCCCCGGGGAGGGGTTGCTCAGCGGAAACCCTCCACAGTGGCCTGGTCTCCCCTCAACTGTCAGGCAGCCAGGCCTCTGGCTGGACTGTGAGGCCTCCTACATTTAAAAAAAATTTTAAATTGATAGAGAGAGGAAGGCAGGA